AGACAGCGGGCATGAGTTTTAAGGTGCTGGATCTGGAACTCAGACTGTGGTCGACTACATGGGAGTCTAGCTAAGTAACCATTCTGCTATCTGCTGGTCCCAAAGTTTACTTATTTAAAGTTTAGTAAAATAACTATATTGAAACAATAACAATAATGGTTTTTTCCAGACATGTTTTTAAACCTTCTCCTTTTATTATCTTTTTAATCTTCACAGCACCACCAAGAGTTCTTGCCTAATTTCTGGGTGAGAAATGGAGACAGTTCTATGTGTAGCCAGGATTTAAAGTCAGCTGTACCTGTGTATTCACTGCTGTCTGTAATTATTCTATACTGAATTTTATCTTATTGTTTGTACCACTCCCTCTCTCTTCCATTTCCCTCCTTTGTCTTCTGCTTCTCTTCCTTCTTCGCTCTCCCTTATATAAGTGAATTGAGTCAGTCATACTTATAAATTCACATCAAGTTGTCAAATAGCTTTTTAAATTTTTTTAGGGTTTTTGCTGTAGGGAGTATGTGCTCTCCAGAGAGAAACAGAGACAGTTAGAAAGTGAGAAATCACCCCCAGGGGAGAAGACCATCCCACAGTCCCTTCTCCTCCAGTTTCTTTCTGGGATTTTGTGTATTCTTACACAAAATCTATAGCCCGCCATGATTTTCAAGCCTCTGTGTCTGGGACTTGAGCTGTGCTCGGCCATGTAGGAGTTCAGCACCATAATCACTTCTCTGCCTGCCAGCCCCTGAAACATTTTATTGATTTATAGTTTTTAGTGTTACTTCACGTTTACTACTTTGCTTTTAGCTTCTAGAACTCTATACAAATATTAGATCTCTTTTTCCCATCCACTATATATGTTATTTTCACCAAAACCTTTATTTCATAATTTCTGTTGATTCTATCCAAGTATTTGGTTCTTTCCTCTTTTCTGTTTCTGTTTTTGAGTATTTAGTTTTGTCTTCCTTCTAATTTAGTCTTTATGTATGAAATGAATTTTTGTTTTACTTCTGAGCTCTGTCAGCTCTTTTAATAATCTCCTCTAAATTAATTATTTCTTAAACAAATTTTATGTATTTCTGATACATGTTCCTTCATATAGTTTACTTTTTGTTCCATAATATTATATTTTAGTGGTTTTTTATTTATTTATTTTGTTTTTTGTTTGTTTGTTTGTTTGTTTTGCTTTGCTTTCCTGTTTATCTTCATTTTGATTACAGGACAATATATTTATTAGTTCATTTTTCTTTTTTGTTTTCTTATAGTCTAATTGTATAGGGCTTAACACAATACGGATGTCCTGGTTAAGTAAGGCAATGTTGACTGTGCTTTTATGTTTCTGTGGGAATGCACTGCCTATATGGCATAGTTTCCTCATTTCAGGCTCCATTGGAATTCTTCTTGAAGAAATTTTTCTTCATCAGGGAAAAAGTTCATCCTCATGAAAAAAAATTATCCTTGTCTCCCCCCTTCCCCTGAATTTATGAAGTATTTGGGCTAATTTATTTTATTTTTGTGATTTTTTTAAATCAAATTTCTTATCTCCATTGTCTAATCTAAGTCATGTATAAAATGAATCTTATATAGTCTTATCCAGGATACATGTTGTTTTCAGATCACTGTATTGAGAATTATACTTTAAGAGACTATCTTTTATTTTGGGTGTATGTACTTTCTTGAAATCTCTGTGTCCTAGGATTCTTGAGATCATCATGAATTTCTTTTATCCTTTTAAAATATTTTTGTCCACCCATACAAGACCTAGCAGTATTTCTACAGTTTTTAGAGTTTTAAAAATCCATTTTCATTATAAGATTCCTGTAAATCTTTTGTTGCTGCAACATTCTGTGATGCCAGACTCATACTTGAAAACCACATTTGTGTCCCAAGACCTCTTTGTACATATTGCACATGCATGTGGGTGCCTGCAATTCGAGATGACTAAGGCTCAGGTGGATTATGTCATGAAGACTCTGTTGGGAGTACCTGTTTCTTGCTCGCTCTCTCATGGAAGAAATCTAATCTAAAATTAAAAACAATTAGAATTGAACCCTTCCGTGACTTCCAAAATATAGAAATGATATAACCTAGTGCTGATTGTTTGTATTTTTTAGGTTTTTGCCATAGGGCCTATTTCCTCACCAGAGAGAAACCACCTGAGAGAAATCTTCTCAGGATTTTGGACACACATGCACATGTGTCTGGTGTGTCAAGCTGCTGGGTCTGGGACTTAAATCTCGGTCAGCCACATGGAAACCCTGTACTTCAACCACCACATTATGTGCTGGACCCCAGACTATTGAGTTTTAAAAATAAATTACTAAAAAAGGCTGCCTTTGCAATCTAGATATTTCTTTGAAGTTATGTCAAGCAATGTTTTGGGAATAAGAAAATTGCAGAAATCCTACAGAGAAATTTTAACAAGACAACTAATTAGAATATATAGACATAGCTAAAGCAGTTTTCTAAGGAAAATTCATAGCATTAAAATATTTTTATCAATAAAAATGTGGAAAGAATGACATGAATTAAACATGCAACTGAAACAACTTTGAAAAATAAAATGAACCAAGAGAAAACACAATTGGAAAAACTTGTATGTTCAAAAGTAAATGAAAGAAAGTTGAGACAAGAACATAATTAAAAATTTCTCCAAAATATCATCTAACAAGGGAACCAGCAGTTAGCGTAATGGCTGTGTCGCTGGACTCCCATGTAGTCGACTGCGGTTCGTGTCTCGGACCCGGTGGGTTAAAACTCACGCCGGGCGCGTGTGTGTGCATGCCCAAGATCCTGAGAGGAGAATGGAGGAGAAGGGATTGAGGCGTGACCATCCCCCCTGGGGGATGATTTCTCGCTTTCTGTCTCTATGTCTCTCTCTGTCTGTCTGGCAAGCACACATGCCCTATAGTGAAAATCTCTCTAAAAAAAAAAAAAAAGAATCATCTAACAACAACTACCATATGACTTACACAAGTAGGTGAAGTGATACAAGGTGAATGTAGATATGACCAAGAGTTGGCTCTTCTATTATTTCCACATAATCCCAGTGTTAAGGTGATAACTCAGTTTTTATGTGTATCTACATTGTCTAAATGTTTCACAAAGAATATGCGTTAATTGTTAAGTAAAAATAATTATTTAAAACTTAGAGTTCAAACGGGAAAAGCGCTACATATATAGATTTCCCGTGTTTTAAAAACTAGGCTAATGGCATATGACCATTTTGTGATTACGATATAGACAAATGTAAATAATAAGTTCTTAGTTATGGATATGTAAAGATAACATCCTGAAAATATTAGGAGAAAAAATTCCAACAATTTGGGCCCAGCTCTTTGGCCTGGTGGAAAACAGCCGGTTCCCATTTGGCCAACTGCGTAGTTCAAGTCCTGGACTCAGCAGCTTGAGAAACACACAGGACACATATGTATACCCAAAACCCTGAACGGAAAGAGAGATGGAGAAGGGATTGTGGTATGTCCATTTGCCATCCATTGGAGGTGCTCTCTCATCTCTCTCTCTGTCTTTCCTTGGCAAGCCCACATGCCGTCTAGAAAAACAAAACAAAACAAACAAACAAACAAACAAAAACAGAAGAAAAAATAAGAAATACCAGGAAAAAATTAAGGGAAATTGCAAAAATGAACAAAAAGAACTATAGAAATGCATTTTATTTAGCTCCATTTCTTGTTGGGAAAGCTATTAGAATTGATCATGAATTGACTACATTGCAAACATCTGACAAGCCTAAGATAGTAGTTTTGTGTAGAGCAAATAATGCCAGACAAAATAAATTTCTTTTTATGACAGAGTGACAAGGAAGAAGCCATACACATAGTAGATTCAGAACTGAGTCAGCTTATTTGGTGTGTCCCTCATTCAATTCCTTCAGCAAACTAGGAAGTATGGCATTAGGTAGATGCATGTACCTAAAGTCAGTGGTCAAAAGTGTATTGTCAGTATCAGGGGACATAATAACTATTCTTCCTTAGCAGTTGTCAGAGTTCCAATTGTTGTAATTATAAAGGGATTGAAAGCCCTGAATAAAAAGTGCTTTTCAGTTTAAAAAGGCAGTCAGTTAAAGTGACTTGTTAATACTTGGGAGAAGAAAACTAGGAATATGGTGCCATTATACTAAATAGAAGTTGTAGATATATAACTTATTTTTAAATGGTTCTTTGTTTTAAAATACTTTATTTTTTTCTTATACTGTAACTTTATTTGGAGCACGAGAATTTTTTTTACATAAAGTTAACATTTTTAAACTTCTTAGGAAAATTATTCAAAAAGAAACATTTCAGAAGAGTCTTGTTTAAATGGTTTTCTGTCTTATTTTCTTCTTATGAGTATTTGCTTTATTTCAGATCAGGTTACTAAATTGCTGTCCATACTGAAATATCTGTAAGATTTCTGAGGTTGGAAGACTTTGTTCAGGTCATTTTAAATTCACATTAGCACAGTGTCTATAAGAAACACAATACAGATTAATGTGATATTTGCCTTTCGTTTGTCTTAATGATTTCCATAAGAAGGTTCACACAATAAATTATATAAAAGTACAGTGCATTTGGTTGGAAATTATAAAAGTAATTCTAAAAGTTAAGCACATATATTAAGCAAACAAGCTGCTATGATATGTTTACAATGCTATAAAATAACTAATATGTTAAACATGTTCTTAAAACATACTGCTTTTGGTCATACAGTGAACTGAGACACACAGACAGCCTGCGTTCTTTTTGTTTGTTTGTTTGTTTTTTCTTCTAAATGGCACAAAACAATGGCTTGATGACAGGAAAATGCTACTTCATGAGAAAACACCAGTACCTGTATTCATACTTTAAAAACAATTCTTGTTCTGTATCCCCTTGATTGTTTTAAAAATTTTATAACTCCAGAAGATGACACAGTGTCACTTTATTAAATGTAGACGTCCTCTGGGGAAGTGATGTGTCTAAAAAATGTTTATAAATCAGTTTCCTTCCTACTTCAATGCTATCATAATGGACCGGGAGGACTTCCTAATCAATGAAATTGTGTTCTACAATACAGTGGACAGCCATGTCAAGGGTAGCTTTCCTATATCTGCAAATGCAGTGTTCCCTACTTGTCTTTAGGGAAATAATAGCGTAAGTGATAAAGTTCTTACAGATGACTTTGTATAAAATATGTAGTATAACTTGCATTTAGGCATTATCTGAGTAATTCATGTAATGTTACTTCAAAAAGATTGTTTTAAATTTCTCATAGACCACATAAATAGCATGCTAAAAAATTGCGTACAGATATTTTTCTATAAGCTATGTGAAATCATTTTTGGGAAAATGTTAAAAATAGAACAAAGGACAAAACTATCAGATACAAATATAGCATTTCTTTTAACTTTGGAAGTAATCAGACCTTTAAAGGATGATTGTTTTTAAAAACAATATAAATTAATACGAATTAAATGTTTCCATACACAGTATCTATTATTTCATTTCCTTTAGTCCATAATAACAGAATTAGACTGTCCTATCCATAACAAGCTAAAAACTTTCACATTCATATCTTCATTTATCAATAGTTAGTGTTTTGAAACAGTACACTGTAGACCAAGAGCAGGAAAGGAAGGCATATTTACAGATTATTTTATGGTAATAATAACTATCCAATAACATAAAGGAAATTAGTAAAATGAATTTTAAATAATTCTTTAAATCATTTGTTTCACATAGTGGATTTTATGAAGTAATTCGTTGTAACTGTACATTCTTCTCACCATGTCATCCCTTCCTCATTAGTTCGTTAGCATCATGTCTTATGTAAACAAATATAAATTGTTTCCTTCTTGACATTGTTCTCTGCTCTGATTGGTTTGGCATCTTACACCTGATGCTATCTTTATAAATATAAATGAAATGTTGGTGCCTTCATCCTCTACTCAAAACCATCTAGCACTTTTGGGACCAGTAGTTAGCATAATGGCTATGTCGCTGGATTCCCATGTAGTTAATCGTAGTTCGGGTCCCGGACCCGGAGGCTTAAACACACATTGGGTGAATGTGCGTGTGTGCTCAAGATCTCGAGAGGAGAATGGAGGAGAAGGGATTGTGTCGTGGCCAGGCCATCCCCCCTGGGGGGTGATTTCTCGCTTTCTGTCTCTCTGTCTCTCTTTGTCTGTCTCTCTTTGTCTTTTCTGGTGAGCGCACGTGCCATATAGCAAAAACCTCTCCAAAAAAACAAAAACAAAACCACAAACATCTAGTGCTTTCTATTCCATTCACAATAAAAAATTAAAAACTGAAAATGTCATGTGTCATACGTCTTATATGATCTCTTTTATAACCACCTTTCAAACCTCTTTCTACAATACATTATTCTTTTTTAAAAAATATTTATTATTTTATTATTTTACTTTTTAATTTGCTAGAAGCATTTGCATGAGAAAGAGAAAGAGAGAGCTAGCGAACGAGCAAGCCACCAGGTCCAGGTCTTGAACGCAGTTGGCCATTTAGGAGTCCAGCACCTTAACAACCATGCTGCCTTCTGGCCCCACAGTCACTATTTTTTATCTTAAGACTTCCTTGCTTTTTGCTCTTCCAAGAACAAGTTAAGCTTGTTTTTTCATCACACTATAAATTTCTCAATTTTTCTTATGTCTGACTTTTTTTCATCATTCTGTTTAAATATTCTCTATAAGCAAAGTAATAGCCACTCCCATTGACTCTACTCTCCTTTTTATTCTTAATAGCCTTAATGTATTTATTCTCTACTCTCATATAAAATGCTTGTGTACGTAAATTCACTTTCTATTTTTGTCTACCAGAGCATGGTGTGCTCATCAGAGGCAGATGCAGAGGGAGCTTAGTCCCCTGCACCCCACACCCCCAGTGGAGCATGGCCATGGACAGTCTCTTCTCTCTCATCTCTCCACCCTGTCAGGATTGTGGGCACACATGTTCCTGGTAGGTTTTTCATGATGCCTCAGCTAGGTTTTGAACTATGGTCTCCCATATAGAATCTGACTCCCTTAACTACAAAGCTTTGGGGCTGACCCTAACATTCATTTTCTAGTTGTTCATTTCCTTATTAGAATATGGATTCCAGAAAAACAGAGACATTTTCTTGTTCTTCATTGTATCTGTTGTACCCATGGAAAAGGTTCAGAGATTTTATGGAATAAATTAGAAAATTTAAGAATAAAACATAGTGTACATATTATCAAAACTATCTGTTTTGGGAACAGTTTCATAGGCCAAAACTAAGTTCTCAAATGTCTAGACAGATATTTTTATGTTGATGAATACAAATGATAGTATTTACAAATTTAATCCTTTACATGATTTTTGTGATCCATTTGAAATTGCTTTTAAGTTTAGTTAGAACATGGAATATTGTGCAATTTTTATTTATTATATATTTAGATAACTACTTGAATATTTTTTTTAATTTTAATTTTCTCAGGAGTAATTTTGAAAAAGTATAAAACATATAACTTTCAAATATGTTTTTTCTCTATTCACTGCTCTGGGAAAGTAATGTTTGCTTAGATATTTTAAATAGTCAAAGGACATATTCCTCACACTTTGTTTGAAGACATTAAAAATTAATTAAGGACATCATTTCTTTCTCATGAGACAGAGTCACATCTTCAGTTACCGCTTTTTAGTTTTAGTTTACTGAGGTCATCTTACAGTAACAGCATTCACATAGCTGTTAGGAAGAAGCTGTTTCAAGTCTTTGATCAGGATTCTTCATAATCTTATTGAAGAGCAAGATGAACACTCAGTGTGTTTATGATTTTTTTCTCATTTAAATGTTTCTTTTCTTCTGTTTCTTTTTTTTCAGAAATTGAAAAATTTCAAGGTTCTGATGGAAAAAAGGAAGACGAAGAAAAGAAATATCTTGATGTCATCAGCAACAAAAACATAAAGCTCTCAGAAAGAGTATTGATTCCTGTCAAACAGTATCCAAAGGTACTGCAATATGTGCTTTGTTCCTATAATTAAGAAAATGATAAAAATAAAATATTTATTCATTGATTTTAATAAAATAAATACTTTTAATATTCATTGTAAAGGATGTACAGAATCATGATACTGACATAGAAAAAGAAAAACATTTTACAAGTGCATTGATGAGGATCGTTTTCAACTGAATGCTAAAGCGCTTTGTTCAGCCAATATGGGAAGCATAATTAAATATTTTAATCATTTATTTAACGAATCAGTGAATCAGCAATTTGTCCAAATATGCACATCCACTTGGTTATGTTTTTGTTCATGTTAAAATATATATGTTCTTACCAAATAGATTAAACTTAATAATAACTAAATATATAATATTAGCCAATCAGCAGGGAATTATTATATTCAGGAAAGCAATACAATCTTTATTATACTAATAGATTATAATCTCTAGTTTTCTGTATTCCTGGTTCATTTATAAAAATAATTATGATATTGTTCTTAATGAAAAAATGTCTCTCTTAAGTTGCTTTTCCCTAGTGTATCACTGATTATAAAGTATAGCTTTCAACAGCATAGGTTTATCAATTATAGTAATAAATTTTACTGTGTATAAAGAATTTGTATTTTTCCAAACAAAAGAAGCAAAATTAGAGACTCAAAGATTCAAGGTTTTAATTTACTTTGTGAAGAGTGAGTCTGAAGCAAGGAGTATGTAATTATCATAATAATAAAGACTACATAAATGAATGCTGTGGTTTATCAGTTTTCTTCTGATGTGACAAATTTTAGTAAACATAATTAAGCAGAATGTTTTGTTTATAATTATTTTGGATAGAGATAACACTGTTACAAAGCAGCAAATTGTAAAATTTAACTTTTAGATAAGGTTTTTCAGACATGCAAATTTTTTTTTTGTTTTTGAGCTAGATTTATTTTATTGCAAGAAAAATGCATTCTATATGTATGTTTAGAAATAAAGTTTGTTAGATATTTTGAAATAAAGTTTATTAGGTTTATAATTATGTTTTAAGGATATTAAAATCTGTAGTCATACACACACACATTAATATTTATATAGTAATGAAATATGGTAGAAATCCAATGGGTATTAAAAAATGGTCCTTTTTTTTAAAGGAGCTTTATTAACTATTTGTAGTGTAGAACAAAATGTTTGTTATTAAACCAATATATTTAAATATAATATAACTCGATATTGTTTTTCAGGATTACATTTGTCTATTATGTAAATATGGGAAGGCCAACGACAAGCTCATTATATTTTTCTAAATAAAACACAGCTCTGGGGACCAGCAGATGGCATAATGGTTATATTGCTGGACTCCCCATAGTTGACTGCAGTTTGAGTCTCAGATCTGGTGGCTTAAAACTCAACCCAGGCTTGTGTGTGTGTGCATGCCCAAAATCTCAAGAGGAGGATGGAAGAGAAGGGATTGTGCATAGCCATCCCCCCATGGGGGGGGGTGAGTTCTCGCATTCTGTCTGTCTCTCTCTCTCTCTCTCTCTCTCCAGCAAGCGCACATGCCCTGTAGTAAAAAATCTCTCTAAAAGTAAACAAATAAGTAAATTAAATAAATAAAATGCAACTCTGTGGTATTTGACCAATTTAAGTTGACAACGTATAAAAGGCTTTTAAAGTTCTGATGGATTTTCAAGTGTCAGCATCCGTGTTTTTATGCTGAGTAGTATGCAAGAGTCTACATTTGATTCATAATGAATATTCTGTGGTGCCAAGTGTTTGTGTGAAGTTTAATTTCATAAATTATAAGATGCTCAAACAACGAAAATAGTTATTGCAATAAACCATGGATCTCCAGCAAAGTATCGCACCTCTTAGAATTTTTAGAATAATAGAATGCTTAGACTGGAACTAAACTGGGAAATCACAGACTACATAAAACTTTTATTTTACAGCTGAGATAACTGGAAAATGATGAACTACTCCAGGTCACATCTTTGTTACAGATGGATATCTTTATTACAGTTGATGTTATTTTAGATTCTTCCTTTTTTGTGAACCATTACATTTTTAACTTGACTGATCATGCTCACATGTTTGTATTACTTTTTCATGTAAAATGTGGAAGAATGTGAAAAATCATAGCTTCTAATGATTAATAGTTTCATGCGTAGTCTCAATAACTCATGCTCAAGAAAATTTACCATTTCTTTAATTGATGAAAAGCCTGACAAACCTTTTTGATTTATTTTTTAAAGGAATCTCTATTTAATCTAATCACACAGAAAAGAATTCTATAGCCCTTACAAAGAAATAGAGCAAACTGCTGAGAAGCTGAGTAGAATAACCTAGCAAATTTGATCTGCCTTTGTTTTTTGTTTGTTTTCTTTTGTTTGCTATTAAGTGGATGCATTTGGTGGAGAGAGACAAAGACCCAGAGGGAAAGTGAGAAATCACCCTCAGAGGAGAAGGCCATACCACATAGTCTATTCTCCTCTATGCTCCTGGGATTTGAGGCACTCTAGCACAGGTACCCAGAGTGTTTTTCAAGTCCCAAAGTCCAGGACTAGAATGGAGACTCAGCCATGTAGGATCCAGTGCCTTAACCACCATGCCACCTGCTGGCCCTGTTTTTGTTTGTTTTTATGCTATAAGAATAAAATACAATGTTTTCAAAACAGCCATTCTTAACTATAATTTTTTGGAAAAAAAAAAAAAACTATTTCATGGTGACTCTATCTTTCCTAGTGTTTCTTGCCCACTTACCATAAAAATACTGGGGAGATAGAGTTAGGATTATGATTGCTAAATTGGAGCGATCTTGATTTGATGTACATTTGTAAGCTGTAAATAATGCGTAATGTGATGTAATACTGTGAGCTGTTAAGGAGAACAAAAAAGTATTTATGGATTTAAAATTTAATCTTTTATAATAAAAAGTGATCTATCTGTTAGTGGGACGTACTGGAGAATGACCTGCTTTCTGCAACTTTGTCTAAGAACTGTCTTTCCCTTGTTACCAGCTGTCCAATTGATCTGGTAATTATTGTGGAAAAGACACAGTCCTCTCCATCAAAGGGCAATAAATAACTATGAGAATTATCAGAGAAATGACCCTACCATGACTTTACTGTGTGACCTTTTTTGGATAGATTTTGTTTCAATTAGTCTCCAATTGTAAGTTCATTTGCTGACTTAGTTGAATACTATGAGGAATTGAAAGAAGTTTAAGATTTTAAATTATAGAAAGTATAGGAATGCTGTTCAAGCACTTTAAGAATGATTTATCTAGCTCTAGTACTTCATGTTTAGTGACTTAATTTGGAGAAAATATGCGATCCTATTAAAATATTTTAATGAACAGTGTTTTCTTATTTGTTTTTCATATTTTTGTAACAAGATTATAGAGATGCATTTGAGATTCATGCTACCTAATTGATTTTAACTATTCTTGCTATGTTGTATACCATAAATGTATGCAATACTATTTATTTAAAGGCCCAGCCTCATGGTGCAGTCGGGGCAAAAAGAACTGCAGTGCTGGAAGCCACATGACTGGTTGCTAGTTTGGATCCCTGGGTAGAGCTGTCAACAAGCTGGTGCACAAGATCCTGATATGCTGAAGGGCTGGGCAAGAGGGCATGGCATGACAGATCCTGTTAGGGGTGCTTCTTTCTTTGTGCTCTGTCTCTGGGCTCACTCTCTCTCTCTCATGCACATGTGTGCATACATGTGGTATTCATGAATTTTTTAAAAAAATATTTGTAAAATTATTTTTAGAAGATTATTAGAGAGACATTGTATCTGTATCTGCATTTGCAAATGTTTCAGAATCAGAGCAATTATTTCTTGGCAGTTAAGTCTCTAGGGAAATAAGATAGGTCAGCATGTTCCTCTATGTTCCTCAGATTCATATAGAAGATCTCAGAAAACCTTATGCCATTCCATACATTAGCTTTTTCTCCCTAAATCCACAAATACTATATTTCACAGTCCAGTACACTTATTTTACCCTCTCCCATAATTTAATATCGCTAATTGATATGTATATTATAGTCAATCTTTCTGCACTTTCTTTCAGGAAGGAAATTGGCATGATTCTTCATTATTGCCTATGACATGTACACTTGGTCTTAGCTTTTTGTATTGAGTTGTAAGTATTGGAACTATGTCTCTTGAGTTGAATTTCAGTTAGAAATTTCTTCAATGAGATCATGATTTGGTGTTGATATACAGAGCAATTCTGTATATAAAATATGTACCTAAATAATTGGGGTATAAATTTGATATTTATGAAGGTGGTTTTCATCCTTGATGGAATGAGAAAAAAAATCCATGTTTTCTTGAATCGCAACAAACATGTACCTTAAAGGATCTAAGAAACCAAGATACACATATGAGACTGAAGCCCTGCTGTGTTTGTTTCTGCTAGATATGCTGAAAAAATGCCTATGGCAAGTCTGGGTAAACAGAGTGCTCTGGAGAACTGGAAGAGTGCTACCTGCACTTGTAAGAGGGTATCTAATTATTGCTTACTACTGTACCTATTTGTTCACCTGGGCAATTCAGCATTTCAATACTTTTCCAAAATATCTTTTTGATGTGCTTTCAGAATCCTTTGAAATACATCAGACCTTTTCTTCAATTAAATTTGCCCCAAGGCCCACTTTTTATTTCTCAACTTGAGCTACTGCCAATTTTTAAAGCAATATATTGCCAGGAGTGTAAATCTGCCCCAAATTTGGCCCCTTTTAAGATCAAACACAGCCATGTTCCCCTGTGCTGCTTTTCAAATCAATTCCTTATGTAGATTAATGCAGAAAATTAAAGTTCCAAAATATGTTCAAAGGCATCTCACTTGCTCTATATTTCTTCTTGCTCTATTCAATCCCAGAGAGAAGACCTGCCTTCTATGCCTGGTTGGAAGTTGTCTCATCCAAAATTGCAATCTGCCACGTCCTTCTACAAAGCTTATGTCCCTCTCTTCTTTATACCTTGAAAGATGAGATTCTCAAATCCAAGTCCTTGA